AGCATCTTGCTTGTTCTTGTAGTAATCAGTCTGCCTGTATTGTTTTGTATCTTTGTAATCTTGTAGTAATTAGGACTGCCTATATTGTTTTGTATTTTTCCTGTTGATTTTTCTTTCAAGAAGTATCTTCTGTTCTTCTAGTTGCTCCAGGCTGGTCTGCTTGTCCTTTCAAGTGGAAATTTCCCATCTCAGAAGATTCTGGATATGATTCATATCATATCCTTTTAATTCCTAATTTTGTGTGTATGTACATTTTGTCTTCCTTATGTTTTTCCAGAGATTTGTCTATTTTGCTTCTTTTTAATAGATTTATAATAATCTGTAATTAATTCTTCAGTTTCCTTTATATTTTTCTATTTATTTATACTTTTAGCTTTATTTTCCCCCAAAAATTCCTCAAATGTACAATTCCTTAGTGAGAGAAACTCATTCCTTGAATTTAGAAAACAAAAGACAAAAAGGTTTATGTACATTGCCTGAGAAGAGGGGGGAAGTCCAAGGTAATGTTGGCATCAGGCAATGAAGCAGGTAGTAGGGGAAGGGCACTGAGGTGAAGTAAATAGAGGGTTAATGAGTGAGGTGTGAACTGAGGAGTGGTAAAATACCCACTAAGACACCTGGGAATCTACTAGGGCTTGGCATATGAAATTTATTAATAGATTTTTCTTGAATAACTGAATTGATAAGATCAATAGCTGAATTGATCCCTTCCTCCTTGGAATATCTTCTTACAGAGGGATTCATGGAACCAGATGCTGGAGAAAATGGGACAGCTGTTACTGAGTTCATCCTGCTGGGCCTGGTGGAAACACCAGGGCTGCGACCACTTGTCTTTGTACTCTTCCTTTTTGCCTACATGGTCACAGTTGGGGGCAACCTCAGCATCCTGGCAGCCATCCTGGTGGAGCCCAAACTCCACACCCCCATGTACTTCTTCCTGGGGAACCTGTCAGTGCTGGATATTGGGTGCATCACTGTCACTATTCCCTCAATGTTAAGTCGTCTTCTGTCCCACGAGCGTACAGTTCCCTATGGAGCCTGCCTCACACAGCTCTTCTTCTTCCATCAGTTGGCTGGTGTGGACTGCTTCCTGTTGACAGCCATGGCTTATGACCGTTTCCTAGCCATCTGCCGGCCTCTCACCTATAGTACACGCATGAGCCAGGTAGTACAGAAGCTATTGGTGGTTGTGTCCTGGACTTGTGCTTTTATCAATGCACTGACCCACACTGTGGCCATATCCACACTTAGCTTCTGTGGGCCCAATGTGATCAACCACTTCTACTGTGACCTCCCACAGCTCTTCCAGCTCTCCTGCTCCAGCACCCAACTCAATGAGCTGCTACTCTTTGGTTTGGGTGTCCTCATGGCAGGTGCACCTGTAATTCTCATTGTTACTTCCTATATCCATGTGGCAGCTGCGGTGTTGCGAATACGCTCTGCTGAAGGCAGGAAGAAGGCTTTCTCCACATGCGGCTCCCACCTCACTGTGGTGGGCATCTTCTATGGGACAGGTGTCTTCAGCTACATGAGACTAGGTTCAGTTGAAGCTTCAGACAAAGACAAGGGCATTGGTATCCTCAACACTGTCATCAGCCCCATGCTTAACCCACTCATCTACAGCCTTAGGAATCCTGATGTGCAGGGCGCCCTGCAGCGGGTGCTGTCAGGGAAGCGAGCCCTTGCATGAGAGGTGTTTCAGGAGGGTGGTGGCAACCAGGGTATGTAAACTGTGTCATTTTTTGCTCCTTGATGATTTTTCTTATAAAGACTTCTTGTTTCAACAAAGAGGCTGTACCTGATAATAGATATACAGGTTCTGTTAAATAGAACTTCTGGCAACTTGTCATTTGGTCCTAACCACTCTTCCCATTGTAAAAGAGCTGAACCCAGGAAGCTCCTTATCCTGGATCACTCATGGTCCTACAAGAAGGATCCTTTGTTCATTTTCTGTCTGGAGTCCCCAGAATATACCAGGAAAATTTCTCCCCAAACTGGGATTTAAAGAATCATAGATCTGGTGCCAAGAATTAGCATATTCTCCTTTCAGGCTTCCCATGAAAGTTGCTTCACCCACTTACTTTCACACAAGGACCCTAAACTTAATACATTGTAATTTGAGGCACTGATTCTATATTGAAATTTTGGGGGTTCTCTTTTCCCCGCAAAATGGAACGATCCATTGATTTTAAAGTTCTTATTAGATAAATCATGTTTATTAAAATGGAAATAAAACACAATTTTATCAAGTGGAAAAATTAATGTCAACACCTGCACCTTCTTTGTCCCAACAATCTGATTCCTCAGTACTAAAGTGTGGCAGCGGTAGTGAGGTTGGCCCAGGATCGGACATTGTTTCATTCTGCTGTGCATGGGGTTGCTATGAGTCAGTGCCAACTCGATGGCACCTGACAACAAAAACAACAACTCAGTACTGACTCTTCTAGTCTTTTTATACATATATGAATATGCCTAAATATATTTTGTGTCAAGATAAGCCTGTTTATGTGTATTACACAATAATAGAACATGCTGTCCTGTCATCTTTTTTTCTGTTTACACAGTACACTTTTTTGCATGTCAAATATTTAAAAACTTATGTTATCAATATTAATGGCTTCCTAGTGTGATATTTAAGGAGCTCTGGCAGTGGTTACGAATTGTGCTGCTAATCTCAGGGTCAGCAGTTCGAAACTACCAGTTGTTCTGTGGGAGAAAGATGAGTTTTTCTGCTCCTGTAAAGATTTACAGCTTCAGAAACCCTGTACAGGGTCGCTATGAGTCGGCACCAACACCACGGCACATAACAACAACAGCAAGTGTGATATTTGGAGTCCTGGTCCTGGTGTGGTGCTGTGGATTAATGCACCAGACTGCAAAGCTGTTTGAACTGCAAGGTTAGCAGTTCAAGCTCACCAGTCACTCCTTGGAAACCCTATATAGGGTCGCTATGGGTCGGAACTGACTTGATGGCACTTAACAACAACAACAACAAGTGTGATATTATATGAGTAGACTATCATTTATTCAACCATACTTCTTTTAATGAAATTTAAATCATTTCTAGGTTTACTGACATTTTAATCAATTATGTAAGAAAAATTCTTTGGTGATGATTTCCCAGCATTCTACAAGCATTTCTATAAGATAATTCTTTTTTTTT